CGGGTCGCGATTCCGATTCATCAGGCCCATCTGGGGCTCTCTGGAGCACATTCATGATGGGCCCCATCCAGTGCCCAATGGGCTCCTTGGGGCCCATGCCTTCATCTGCAGGGTTGTCCCGCGATGCCCAAGACGACCACATCTTGCGAACAGCAGCAGCCCCCGCCCATTCACGCACACTCAACGGGGCATGGGAGCGGAAGTCAATCTTGTCACCAAGATCCGTGACGACGACGAAGGCAGACAGAGCGCCAGCCGATGTCTTGAGGCCAGCAAAACTGCTCCTGTCGTCCATGGCACTTGTGCCCAATGACTCGGCGCTTGGAGGACGCGAAGCACTTGCCTCTGCCATTCCTTCTGCAACGTGTCGTGAGAGATACAGCGGTCCTGAACCAGGAGGGCCCATTGGACAATCGGTGGCATCCAACAGTAGACCTGCGGGTCCTCTCCCGTGGGCCCCCGCGTGCATGATGAAATCCATGCTGAAGTACTGGCCCCTGGAGTATACCATGTGCCTCTCATGGCGGCTGGCACTTTCTTGACCAAGGGCTGCCTCTCATGGCGGCTGACACTCCAACTCCGCGCTGCATGGCCGAGGGGAGTGCCCGCCGAGCAAAACGTGAAACCGCTGCGCCTGCCTTCTGAAGGACCGATAGCCTGGCCATGCGAAGTCGTGCCCGGGCGATGCGCGACCGAAGGCGAGCGAACTTCAGCCTCCCCCCCGCAGCAAGCTCGACCCCCCCCCCGAGACTTCCAACGCCGACGCATAGCGATGCCCAGGATGTTTGATTCGGCGGACGACCTGTTTCCCAACCGATGTTGACGAACATGCCACAAACATCTTATGCCTTGCGGGGCTCAAATCCGTGCTTCTGAGGGCCCCGAGGAGGGGCGACAAGGTGGTGGCGGCGGAGGCGACGAGACGACCCTCGACGTCCCTGATCGCTATGGAAACGTCGTCGGCGTACAAATCTATCGTGCGCATGACGCGCTGTGCGTTGGCGTGCATGTTCTCGAAAGGGTCGAGCATCACGCATGCGCGACAGAACGCCGCCATCGGGCACTCCGGCGACGCGCCTCGCGTGGCACATATCTCGTCAGAGAAAATCGAATCCCAGGCAATCCTGCGAGCTGATCTGTGCCTCTGCACTGCCAATACACGCAGGCGAGCTGGAAATTTGCGCCGAGCTGCGGCCGCCGCGAGAAGACGCCAGGGTATACGGTCGCATCACCTTCCAATGCCAACAATCGTCTGCGCCGGGGCATGCCCCCCCCCCCCCCCTCCCCATCTCCCACCTCCGCGGCTTCCGCCTGAACCAGGAGCCGCGCCGCAACGTCGGTGGTCGATTTTTGCGCGCCGATAGCGAGATAGGACCTGCCAAGACGCCCAGACCAGTTTCGAACCCAATCTAAACGCGCCTTCCCCCAGACTCGACACACTGAATTCAGCAGTGCTATCGACCTGTAGCCGCTCGAGGGTTTGGAAAGCAAAATGATGCGAACCTGCCGAATTAGTGTCGGCCATAATCCCCGGAAGTCGAATAGATGTAGTATGTAGCCGAGGAGGGAGAGCGCGCCGCTCGACGCGAGGGCCCAACGCCTGGGCCTGAACCTGGCCGCGCTAGATGAAAGCCAGTTGGCTGCTGTACGAATGTCGGTAATCTTCAGGGGAGGATGCTGCGGGCCTTTTTCCGAATCATGTCCCCCAAGTCCCTGAGAGGATCGTCCTCGGTGTCCTGGATCAGCCCCTGTCCGTCATTCCGAAGGGCCTCGTCGAGGCCATCCCAGATCGCGCCCAAGAGCCCAGAAAGCTCGTCGCGACGAGACGACATCGCCTGGATAACAGGAAACCCCATGGACTGTTTCAACCGTCGAGAGCTGACGCCCTTTGGGTTTAGTCCATCTGTGCACAGCGCCAGGCTTTGTTGTCAGCGAGGTGCGGATCCACTTCCGAAAAGACTTAGCCCGAGCTCCTGCGAGTCGGCGCTCTTCAGGCTGTGCGTTCTTCACGAGGAAGTCTCCCAATAACTGCAGCATAATCGGGTAACAATATGGTGGCTGCGCAGCACTGCGCGTGAGCACGTGCACTATGTCCTGGGCCGTGCCAGCGTCTATGTGCGATCTAAAACGTCCGTCACGTCCTCGCCCCCCCGTGAAATCCACCAGGGAGGCCCACGCACGCGCGCGTGCACGAAGGTTATCCTTGAGATACAGCACGCGCAGATCATGTACATGTGATTGCAATATGCGCAGCGCCCTCGATCTCTGCGTGCCCGCTGGTTGCTGTCGTGCCAGGGCGCGTCCCGCGGTGGTGAATTTGCACTGGGGCCCCTGCGCTCTGCCGCAGTAGCTGTCTGCGGGCTTGGCGCCGAGGTGGAAAAGAGGGAGGAGCTCCTCCTCAACACCTCTGTGCAACGTAGAGACCAAAGCATGCAAATGGTCAGCGTGTCTGTCGGCCTCACCGAAGCCTGCAGCGAAATCTACTCGCATCGTGTCGACC